TATGGATGACCTTGTCAAATGCCTTGTAAAAAAATATAAGCCAGTCCGGCAGAAATTGCTGTTTTATGCTGACCCTCAGTGCTGACCAGACATGTTGCATCTAAATTGTCTAGGTTTGTGTTTCATTTACGTCTTTTTTCACCCGAGATTGCCTTTTTTAACTGTGCATTTATGTTATAAGCTTTGTCTGATGAATCGTCATGTAGTAATCATTCTATTCTTATAATTGTGGTATATTACTCCCATCTGATTGTTTATGCTTTATATAGGTCCAAACCATTTCATGCAGTCAGTACTGCTGTCAGCTTCACTATTTTGTGTTACTATGTCTGCTATGTGTTTCAAAACGGCTTTCTTATTTCTCACTGGGTTTTGCTCTTCAATTCTTTTATAGTAGCATCTTATTTATCCCCAGTTTTCTTATTCTTTTTGTATGCTCTATTCCATTTTTTGATTAGCTTTCTTATATCTGCCCACACCCATGGTGACTGGGGAATAGAAATATGGTCACTCTTGGTCTTCTTCCGACCGGCAGTAAAACCCTTGCCAAAGTGGGGCGTCCGTTTTGGCTGTTTGGGATGTATAGATACACAGCTGCGCCCGTGCAGAATGGGAAATTTTAATCCGATATCTTATGAATTTGTTCTCGTCCTGAACATGCATGCAATATATGCCACCAGACTAAGGCAACCAACAATCAATAAATCAATCTTATATCTGCTGCCATCAAGTGAATCCATTTTTTTCACGATCACCATTAATAGTCGAAAGCGCATCTGGTGCAGATCAATTGGTACCATTAATGTCATTTCTACCACTAGGTCGATACCCCTGCTGGTGGACTGTTAGCAACCGAGGGTATCACCAGTCACGTAGCCAGTACGTCGTTTCTTGTATGCAAATACGTATATTGTGACTGAAATTTGCTGTTATAAAATATTGATTTTTTTTAGATTAAGAAATATATCTCCTGCATGCAAAGCTTTGATTCCTTATCCAGGTTTGGTTTTATTAAGGTTCTTTTTGGTTTTGTAAGCTCTTCAACGTTTGTTTTAGGTTTTAGATTTTCAAATATTTTTGGACTCGGGCTTCACTGAACACATGCTGAAGAGACATAATATGAGTTGTCGAAATACACATCTGGAACAGGACAATTGGTACTGTTAATCTTATAACTCCCCCCGTTCGATATCTCTGTTAATGAACTGTAAGTCCCAGAGAGTATCACCAGCCCAGTAGCCAGTACTTTGGTACTGGCATGCAAAAACGAATATTGATTGAAATTTGCTGTTATAAATTATTTGTAAAAATCATTGAAATTAGGGAATATATCTTTTTCTTTAAGTATACAATATACCATTAACATTTACCGTAAATTTTAATTTGTAAAATATATAGACTATATCTACAAAGAAAACAGCAAATTAGTTTAAGATAACCAATTATTCCTTTAGTCTGGTCACATTATCAAACTTTAAAACAAGATTTAGTTATAGTCGCCGTCCCGATCAACAGATAAAGTTACGATTATCACTGATAAGTTACTATTCTCATGTCCAAATAACGACTATCAGATTGTCCAGCTACGATTATCATATCAAACAAATTTCATGGTGTTACGATTATCTTTCTACAATTTTCGATGGCTATTATTTTGGTAACGAAGCCATATATAATATTAAGAACGCACACACAAAACAAAACCGTACAGATCAACCTGGCGGCTGAGTTATTCTCGAAAACAACACGTTTACACGGAGAAATTGGCAGAAAACGATTTTACCTATTTCTACCTCCGCCATATTGGGATCGTGGCAACTGCAGTTACCTTGATCAGTTTAACACCAGTGAAACCAGATACATTTTTATTCATAGAATTAGTTGACTGATATAATATGTATATTCCTCAACTCACTAATGATTGAAACTAACATCCTAAGTTACTAGAATAGGAGTTTAATCTGAAATTTTACCCTGTCGACAGACCAGGTCTCGCTCCTCTTTGAGTGTATGCGATTCCCTCAGTTTTTTTCCTTTTGACGTCTTAAGATTTTTCTTCTTAATCGATTCATGATATTTGGACATCAGTAAACTACTGTTGTCTAAATATATTCTAAAATAGTACTACGGGTATGATCATATTTGGCAGTCTCTAGAAAACATGATCATATGGTACTATATAGGGAACTTTCCTGAATGTTTTTTTTTTTTTTTTTTAAATACATGTATGTGGTGGTCACATTTTTCTATTTGAAGTGTCACCATGCAAACACATGTAGTATATTACAAATTACTTTTGTTTCATAAATTCCATATATTTTTTATTCTTTGAAATGTATTGGTAAATATTCGATCATCACAAGTAATTTTTAAGGTGTATTTCTTAATGTTACTTTTGTTAAGCAAGGAAACAAAATGCCAAACTAACCAGATTTTCTGTCGATCAAAAATTTCAACAAACAAAATTACACGTATCTAGAAGATTACAAACAACCCGTATATTAACACTGTGGAGGAAACTTTTTTTCAAAATATAAGGTTCGTCTTCGTTACATGTTTGAAGACGACCGATCACATTTTGAAATCCAGATTTGAGATAAGACATAGTTCTGTTCATTGTTGTGCTCTTGTATGTATTTTTCTTCCTTTGATATCGGTATTTCATTGGCCGAGTGGTCTAAGTAGTCGAATTACTGTATCACTAGTCTGTCAACACTGAAGTTATGAGTTCGAATCCCATCAGTGGCAGTTGAGCTCTACCGCAATCTTAATTAACTAGGATTGTCAGTTTTCCTACCAAAGGTCAGTGGTTCTCTCCTGGCACCCCGGCTTCCTCTATCAATACAAACTGACAACCACGAAATAGCACATTGGAATTAATCAATCAATCTATTGCTATCAAGCCATCGTTAACGAAACTTGACACTGTTGATTTGCTAAAACCCATTGTATCTCCAAATTCATGCAACTGACGGCCACTACCATATTGGTAAATAAGAATGGAAGCCATGAATTGTTGCTCAATAGTGAACGCAGTTTTTTGCGGCTACGCTACTTCGATTCTCTCCAAATCTTAAAAGGTCATCACTTAGGAAATCAATGGTGTCATATTGAACATGTACCGTTGCCGTAGCTCATCATGACTAAACTTTCTGCCAAACATGTATAATGGATGATAGTCCCGATAATGCCTTTCCTGTCTAACCATGGGCATCGACACATTGCAACTGAAGCCATATTGGATATTATAATTGTGCATCTATATTTAAATACACGTCAATGAGAGGGATAACATTTAACGGCGGTTTGAGCATTTTCAACAAACGACAAGTGGGACAACTCACTAATAATCAGATTATTTATAATCGATTGATAAAGAAATTCATAGACTCGTTTAATTGATCCATGTTCTGTTGCATATAATGGCAAAGATAATTGAAAGATGTTATTTCAAGAGAGGCGGTTATAAAAAAATATCAACGAAAACCAGTTGTATTAATGTGTTCTTTGTAAACAAAAAAGATAAAGATATTTGTGGAATCCCGATAAAAGAACGAATTCACTTAGTATATTTAAGAGCGAGTCAATATAAAATTGAGTAACCTTATACTTAGTTGCTACGGAAATTACCATTTTCATCATGTTCATATGAAAGGATTATGGCAAATATAATATTATCTTTTATGTTATATCGTATGAACACTCTCTGTTAGAAAATGATTTTTTGCTTAGTGTATGACTAAAACATTGCACATATAAAGTCGTTACATGTTCTTTGAAATATTTTTTGATTATTCTTTAGTATAGCAATTAGATAAATTTATGTAAAACATATATTGCAATGTCAACATTTTAAGATAAAGAATGTACAAAAGTTCATCTTTTTTATATTATTTACGTAAAAAAAGCAAAATAATGTCAACAGAAAAAAACAATCAGCCTATAAAACATTTCGGAAAAATATGAGGGAACTACACAACACAGATTTAAAATTGATATATTATCTATTTAAAGTTTATTACAAAGAGTTATATTTACTCTAATAAATAACGCAATAATGTCTGAAAATGTTTCATAATTTAAATAATATATTTAAATCACATTGCACAATTTGAATATTGCATTGCAGCCATGTTCGTTAAATTAAATGTTTTAAGAGAAACATGGCGTACTTTTCGTTTTAAAATATTTAAAAGTTTTTTCCGTAGATTATTTCTATACTTGTTAAACATAATGCGCAATTTGGTGAATGTTTTAATTATAATAATTGTATCTTACACTTGAAAATAAATGTATCTATCATGTTGTTTTGCATTAACATTACATTCATAATGAATCATAGTCATATCAAATAACAGAAAGTCATCCAAATTATAACGATAACTAAATAACTAAAGATCCGTGTGTCGTGCTTTGTCATCAGGCACGGGATTTTGATCGAGGTGTTGATTATTGACAAAATAAAGTTTTCCTTTTCACTTTTCGAAATGTTTTCATGCGTCTGCTTTTGCAAGTCTTGGTTGTCATCGTGTGTAGTGATATGTGATTTAACTTTGAGTACTCGCAAATAATTCGATATCTTTAAATATTATTCGAATATTTTTAAGGATTTGTGATTTCTTTGAAACTTGACCACATGCACATTTGTATTTACTCAGTTTGTACGCCACTACTATTGTGTTTAGCTTTTCTTAAGTCACAAACAGCATATAGCATAGGGCATACAGCATGTTACTAAAATACATTCTATATATCCCAAATTTTACATTGTTCATACAATAGTTGTTGATTAATAATATAACAATTTTAGCCTTTGGTTGAGGTCAATACGATACTAAATCGTCCTAACCATAAATATAAGAACATGCAATTCTGAAGCTATATATTTTACCTATTATCTTGTATAGACGTTGATGCATAAATAAAGAATAGTTGCATTCTATTACGTTAAACAAAATGGGAAAACAGCACAATTTCTGTTAGACATATAACTAACTTACGTTGAACTGTCAACCAAGTATATTGACTTTTAACGCCATGACATTCTGCATGATACCATCCAGAATCTTCAGTTGTCACATATTTCTTGATTTTATAATGATGAACAGGAACAGTAATCGAGTTCTGTAACTGTTTGTAGATCTTTACATCATACATGTATTTCCAACGTGACGTCACGTATTTTAAACAAAACTCCTCTCCTTCGTATAGTTTGATTTCACCTGCTTGATCATCGATAAAAAACACTACAAATAAAGGAATAGCTAGTGAAGGATTGTTAGATTGTAGATAAAAGAAACAAATAAGGTAAGGAATACCAATTGCAGTACACTATTACTTTTACTGTATACAAATGAACTTTCATGTCTTCTTTGACTGTCCATGACGTCAAAATACTAAATCCCTGGGATGTGTTTTAGTTGATTTCAGTCTCTGATGCATGATTTTTTATTATTAATTGTTTTTGGATTTTAACTAGCTGTCAGTAACTGCGAGTACTCTCAAATCCTACTTTCTTGTTTATTTGACCTGTTGATACTAACTGTAATGCTGTTTTGTTATTTAATGTTTACTTATTCAGGGTTATATCTGGTCTATATACCAGCTTTGAGAAGTTTTTTGGTATTACTATAAATTTTCACTTCTTCGTACTATAAACATCAAAATTATTTATTTTGTAAAAATATTTCCTTTCTCCATTTGAACTGTACACGTTTACCTAACAACAAAATTATTTTCATTTACCTGTGTTTAAAGTTATTGCAAATGGCTGATATTTTTGTTCAAGCATATTGTTTTTCTTAAGTTGTTCACAGCGGTATAACATGTTACTTTTATTATTCTTCCCTTAGTTTATTTATTTTGTATTTACATTGTATCATAGATCAAATTTATTTGTTCAGTGTATGTTCACTGGTGTTAATATGTCTTTTGATTGAGTTAAGCCATTTCAATTGATAGTTTATAGAGTGTCTTTCTATATTGTGATGTTACACTATTGTTTCAGATAAGGGTGAAGATTGGTTCCATTAAAACGTTTAAACCCGCTGCATCTGTTTGCACCTGTCCTAAGTCAGGAATCTGATGTTCAGTAGTTGTCGTTTGTTGATGTAGTTCATACGTGTTTCTCGTTTCTTGTTTTTTATATAGATTAGACCGTTGGTTTTCCCGTTTGAATGGTTTTACACTAGTAATTTTTGGGGCCCTTTGTAGCTTGCTGTTCGGTGTGAGCCAAGACTCCGTGTTGAAGACCGTACTTTGACCTATAATGGTTTACTTTTATAAATTTTGACTTGGATGGAGAGTTGTCTCATTGGCACTCATACCACATCTTCTTATATCTATTTAAATGAGTGAATTTTTTTTTCTTCAACTAAGTTACAACAGTTGATCGATATTTAAGTCCACACGATAAGTGTTGATGGAATAGCTCTAAAATGAATATAAGATTCTAAATAGCATTCCCAATGTCCCATCGTAGTAAGCCATTTATATATCAGACATAACAGGCTACGAGCGTTTGTGCTCACATTATACGGACTGTATTACCAATATTGTGTTCCTAACGAAACAAATGTTCTCCAAATGTATTTAACCGACTATAAAAATACCTCTGAGCATTACGATTTAGCTGACCAATACAATGTATTAGTTGTCCCACTTCTGAGAGATGTATTGTCGTTGTCTGAGTTCTGAAGACATTGTTATAGTTGTCTGATCTGTAAATTTACCGAGGATGTACTTTCCCTAGTCGTGAGTCTGGATTTGCATGGCGGTTGATGCATGCATATCTTGAGAGACTGACCTCTTCAATGCACCATTCTCAATTTTATTTGGAGTTTTTACGAGTCCATTATGTCTTTGGGGTTTTTTTTTAATTTTAATGGATTAAACAGTGTTGCTTATCGAAAAACTATTGTTGTCTCTTTATTTAGCATCCAGTCCGAATGCTCCTAATGAGTATAGCCAATTCGTTTAAGATCAGTTTTGTACGATAGAGAACTATCCACCGAATGGTAACAATAGGAACGTGTACTGCAGAACTCAGTATGTATCAAACCTGTTTCTGAGAAACTATTTATCAAGTCAAAACTTCTTTAAGGGTGAATTTTTCTTTGAGACATATTTATTTTTAGAACTCTTTGAAATTCTTTTAGTATATATAACCAATATCTATATTTAACATATATATTCTGTAAATACAGTATTTGCATATATTAGTAAATGATGCATATGTATATATATATATATATATATATATATATATATATATATATATAAAGTGCCTAGAAAATCAACCTAACAATGTTAGAGTAGATTTGATTCTTTACTTCCTCCCCAAGCGGGGCTGGAACCTGTACTTTTCACTTCATACTTCTACGGCAACACCGCCTAGCATTGCGCAGACGCCTTATCCCCTCCTCTAACTATAGCTGATAAAAAATCAGCTTTCGTTTCGGGAGGTGTTACCTTCTCGTAGGAATTAAACAAGGACATCTAGACGCAATACACAAAGTATTTTAAGTGTACAGAAATGATCATCATAACACCTCCCGAAACGAAAGCTGATTTTTTATCAGCTATAGTTAGAGGAGGGGATAAGGCGTCTGCGCAATGCTAGGCGGTGTTGCCGTAGAAGTATGAAGTGAAAAGTACAGGTTCCAGCCCCGCTTGGGGAGGAAGTAAAGAATCAAATCTACTCTAACATTGTTAGGTTGATTTTCTAGGCACTTTATAAATATTCTAAAGCCTGGCATTTCTTAATCATAAGAAATCCGATGGACAAGGTATAATTTACAGTTGTCACTACACATAGGCAGACATATATATATATATATATATATATATATATATATATAACCAGTCTAAAAGGGTACAATATCACCAAAAAATGACAATAAACGAACAAATATAACTATAAATATTTCGGATAACAGATATCCTTCATCAGTATGAGCACGATGTAAAATGAATCAGATCAATCTATGCTGATTATTAAACTATAGCAATCTTGAATTCTATACAATAAAAAAAAGTGAAACAGTTTCACCCGAACATCATATGTAGAGACGCTAATAAACTTTTAAAATTTCCAAAAAACGACTCAAAGACATGCCTAAAATGAAAATAGTAATTAGAGATATGAACTGGCACAACTCTAAAATTCCAAAATGACGTCAGTTAAGATGTTACAACAACTGCGCGTAAATACATTCCCAAAAAAAAAAACAGCACTGATCGATATAAGCTGGTAAAATATGTCAAACAGAGGCTTTTATCATCCCAAATAAATAGCAGTTTTATAATGAAAAGAAAAAATAATAGTAAATTTGGGATAAGGTTAAAAAAAATGGACGTGGATGCGTACTTGTACATCCCTTCCAAATGAAAAGAACCCTGGTATTTAAACTAGTAAAATTCAAAAAATTCCAAAAGAATCCTTAAAGCTGTAAGGGTCAAGTAAGGAAGCCGGAGTAACTGGAAACAAATGATGTCAGGAAAATGAGTGATGGTAGGGGAAAATGAGTGACTCATTCTATGTTTTTTCATTTATGCCCTCTGGGGAAACTGTCCTTATCTTTCTTATCCAAAACCTTTCCCGAGCAAGTCTTTCGGCCCTTGACCAACCTTCGTTGTGGTCTATGATTGTGATTGTTAGGTTTTTGAGATCAGCTTGGGCGTGCCCAGGTGATCTCAAATGACGACTTACGGGGAGGTCGGGCTTGCAGGTGTAGTCACTTCGATGACCATTCATGCGTTTGTTGAATGGCTGTTCTGTCTCGCCAATATACTGCATGCCACATCGACACTGAAGAAGGTATACAACATTCTGTGTTTTGCAAGTTACATTACAAAATATAGTGTACACAGACCCAATGGAGTGGCAAGTAAATGTTTGAGTATTCAGTATTTGTTGGCAAGTCAGACATCGTCTGTTACCACACGACTTGCACCATCCTGCAGTTGAACAGCTTTTATTAGAAGAGACGTCAGCTTTCACAAATAAGTCTTTCAGACTTGCTGGTCTCCGAAAAGCTAAGACAGGAGGATTGGGAAAGATCTTGGACAATTTTGGGTGCTTGGCAATAGTTTGCCAATTGGCACGGATCAAACGTGAAAGGTTAGTAAAGGCGGGATTGTATGTTAAAACAAACGGAACTATTTTGCTGCGCCTCTTCTGTTTGTACTGTTATAGGTCATTGCGGCTGTTGTTATTAGCACGCGCAAATCCCTTATCTATGTCCAATTTCTTATAACCTCGTTTGGTCAAAAAACCGCGAAGTTCCTGTAACCGTTTAGTGGCAGCCTCCTCAGAGGAGCAAATCCGCTTTACTCTGAGAGCTTGACTGTACGGGATACTTTTTGTACAGTGTTTGGGGTGACAGCTTTGGGGAGAAAGGTATTGATGTTTATCTGTAGGATTACAGTAGAGATCTGATGATATGACACCGTCCTTAATAGATGTAGTAGTGTCTAAGAAAGATATTTTGGAGTCGGAAATTTCATATGTAAATTAAATTGACTGGTGTGCGTTGTTTGCATGTCTGATAAAATCATCCAATTTTTGTTGGGATTCAATCCATTTCATGTCGACATCATCGATGAAACGGAACCAAGACAGAGGTTTGGATAAAGATTTTGAAATAATTTGTTTCTCTAATTTTCCCATGAAAATATTGGCGTATGACGGTGCCATTTTCGTCCCCATCGCTGTCCCGTTTATTTGAAGGTAATGTTCACCATTAAAGGTGAAATTGTTGCATTTCAGAACCAGAGTGAGCAGCTGGACTTAACATTCGGTAGGTGCTTCTAAGGTGTTGCGAAACGGGACAGCGATGGGGACGAAAATGGCACCGTCATACGCCAATATTTTCATGGGAAAATTAGAGAAACAATTAAATTTACATATGAAATTTCCGACTCCAAAATATCTTTCTTAGACACTACTACATCTATTAAGGACGGTGTCATATCAACAGATCTCTACTGTCAACCTACAGATAAACATCAATACCTTTCTCCCCAAAGCTGTCACCCAAACACTGTACAAAAAGTATCCCGTACAGTCAAGCTCTCAGAGTAAAGCGGATTTGCTCCTCTGAGGAGGCTGCCACTAAACGGTTACAGGAACTTCGCGGTTTTTTGACCAAACGAGGTTATAAGAAATTGGACATAGATAAGGGATTTGCGCGTGCTAATAACAACAGCCGCAATGACCTATTAAAGTACAAACAGAAGAGGCGCAGCAAAATAGTTCCGTTTGTTTTAACATACAATCCCGCCTTTACTAACCTTTCAAGTTTGATCCGTGCCAATTGGCAAACTATTGCCAAGCACCCAAAATTGTCCAAGATCTTTCCCAATCCTCCTGTCTTAGCTTTTCGGAGACCAGCAAGTCTGAAAGACTTATTTGTGAAAGCTGACGTCTCTTCTAATAAAAGCTGTTCAACTGCAGGATGGTGCAAGTCGTGTGGTAACAGACGATGTCTGACTTGCCAACAAATACTGAATACTCAAACATTTACTTGCCACTCCACTGGGTCTGTGTACACTATATTTTGTAATGTAACTTGCAAAACACAGAATGTTGTATACCTTCTTCAGTGTCGATGTGGCATGCAGTATATTGGCGAGACAGAACAGCCATTCAACAAACGCATGAATGGTCATCGAAGTGACTACACCTGCAAGCCCGACCTCCCCGTAAGTCGTCATTTGAGATCACCTGGGCACGCCCAAGCTGATCTCAAAAACCTAACAATCACAATCATAGACCACAACGAAGGTTGGTCAAGGGCCGAAAGACTTGCTCGGGAAAGGTTTTGGATAAGAAAGATAAGGACAGTTTCCCCAGAGGGCATAAATGAAAAAAACATAGAATGAGTCACTCATTTTCCCCTACCATCACTCATTTTCCTGACATCATTTGTTTCCAGTTACTCCGGCTTCCTTACTTGACCCTTACAGCTTTAAGGATTCTTTTGGAATTTTTTGAATTTTACTAGTTTAAATACCAGGGTTCTTTTCATTTGGTAGGGATGTACAAGTACGCATCCACGTCCATTTTTTTTAACCTTATCCCACATTTACTATTATTTTTTCTTTTCATTATAAAACTGCTATTTATTTGGGATGATAAAAGCCTCTGTTTGACATATTTTACCAGCTTATATCGATCAGTGCTGTTTTTTTTGTTTTTTTTGGGAATGTATTTACACGCAGTTGTTGTAACATTTTAACTGACGTCATTTTGGAATTTTAGAGTTGTGCCAGTTCATATCTCTAATTACTATTTTCATTTTAGGCATGTCTTTGAGTCGTTTTTTTGGAAATTTTAAAAGTTTATTAGCGTCTCTACATATGATGTTCGGGTGAAACTGTTTCACTTTTTTTTATTGTATAGAATTCAAGATTGCTATAGTTTAATAATCAGAATAGATTGATCTGATTCATTTTACATCGTGCTCATACTGATGAAGGATATCTGTTATCCGAAATATTTATAGTTACATTTGTTCGTTTATTGTCATTTTTTGGTGATGTTGTACCCTTTTAGACTGGTTATATATTATATTTTGTAGTGTACTGTATCATATTTATATGATCCATCGCCCCGTAAGATTTATCGTTGGCTATTATTCAGTCATTATATATATATATATATATATATATACTATCATTAATATATGAACGGTACCAATCTTACTGCACCAGATGCGCATTTCGACAAGTGACTATCTCATTCTGTGAGGTAAATAATAATATTGCACACAATTTCAAGCATTTATTTAAGATTTTGCCAAATATTGCATGAATTTCTTCATTATCAACTTATTTTCAAAACTTGATCATTGACACCACCTCCTTAAAATAAAACAGATATGTAGAACCGACCAATGAATATGCACTTTATGCTCTTTGAAGTCCAGTTATAGTGATGAAAGTTACTATGTTAGCCATGACCTGCTTAAATCGTGACAATTCGCATGAAAAGTCATCAATCGATTAAGAAAAAAAAAATCCGGGTTACAAACTAAAACCTAGGGAAACACATCAACTATATGAGGAAAACAACGGAACAATAAAAACACTAAACTGCAACAAAAACAAACGCCAACATGCATAGAAACGGACTATCTGATAACAACTGCCATATTCCTGACTTGGTACAGGACATTTTAAGAAAAAATGGTGGATTGAACCTGGTTTTATGGCTAGCCAAACCTCCCGCTTATATGGCAATGTTAAAAAAATATATATCGCTAAAATGACAAAACTACGTGACAGGAATACAGTACAAACAAACGCAACAACACTCAGCAAAGAGAAATGCATAAATAAATAATATAATAGTACATAACAACATGTTAACCACAGAATAACAACGGACACCACAAACAGTGACGTATTTTTGTGACGTGTATATAATCTTGAAATTCATACAATTATATGGAATGAGATCCAAAAATTCATAATTATTTTCACAATACTAGTCCAAATAATTATCATGATTATGACGTACGGTCTTGAAAGGCTATTATAATTTAATGCTGTGACGATCATATTTTTTGGGGCTAACACAATACTTTATCTATGAGTTTGACTGTCCCTCTGGTATCTTTCGTCCCTCTTTTATCTATCATGTCCATGGAAAATGGAAATTAACTCGACTATACTGACAAATAAGACATATGTGAAATGTACCGAAAATACAGAATTCAAACCACAAACGATAAGACATAACACAATATCAAACCGTAATTACAAAAGAAACATCATAACTAAATACATGAGTGTTGGATGTATAAATACCGAGACATGTCGTATAGCAATGCGAATTCACACTCAGCGAAACAGTCATATTTGGGAATAGGTCACGTTCGGTACTTAGCAGACAGACGGCGTAGATGGTAAACCACAATCTAAGAAGTGGCAAAAATGTCGTTGGTTAGTTTAGACAGAGACACATGGTATAAATCAACCAATTCGTGATGGTGTCCATAAAATTTACGGAGTGTCAGTTTTAATCTATCCTCCTCATAACTTTGTTGGAGCAGTTTCTGCGTAAGGAGCACACTCCTGTATATGAAGTCCGTATAATGTGTTCATGCACAAGCATAGCGTATTAATTGAGATATGTAAACACCATACGACGGAGCAGAGGGTATGTTACTGCTGAGAAATGGGAAACTGATAACTGGGAAGTTGAAATCATCCCGTTTGTCATAGATTTAAGTGTGAAGTCGTCCATCTGTGTCAATATTGAGGAAAATATCAAGGTATGAAGCAGTCCTTCTAGTATCAGTAGTATTCTTAATTTCAAGTTCACTGGGATATATGAGATGCAAGTACTGACTGAAAAATGGGTTATTCAGTGATAGGACATCATCAATATATCTGAAAGTAATATTAAAGAATTTCGCAAGGTGCTTTTTTCTTTTTGTCTTTTAGAAGGTTCTGAATGAATTCTGCTTCATACGAGTACAAAAACAAATCGGCCAGAAGGGGTGCACAATTAGTACCCATTGGAATACCGGCTGTCTGTTGAAATATCAATCCTCCAAACTCAACAAATATATTGTCGAATAAAAGGTCCACCATTTTGATAATATCATATTCAGTGTATTTTCTGATAGAATCAGTGTGGTTCTTCACAAAATAAGAATTGTTTTAACCCAAAACAAGAAATTTGTATCTACGATTCCCATTTTTATAGAAAAAGCTCTGTTTAATGAGATGGTGAAGTCGATCTTTCAATTGAGCATGGGGAATAGTAATGTAAAGCGTAGAAAAATCACAGGTTTTAATGTTGCTGCAAAATTGTAGAGATTGTGATCTAAGATTTAGCAGTAGATCTTTTGAGAATTTTTTAGAATCCACATCTGATTGACACTACTGGTTGAATATATCTCATCGCAATATTTTTGAAGGCCATCTTTTACTGTAGAAAGAATAGTAATCAGCACTTTAGAAAGATGTAAAGTCGAAGATCTTGATGACCCAGCTATGTATCGTTCTTTATAAGGAGTTTTGTGAAGTTTTGTAAAATTTAATCCTTTGTAAATGATGTTATAGAATATGTAGGATTACCAGTTGTGCTGTTTATTCCAAGCTCTTTTGTGAGACATTGCAAATAATGGTTTTTACATACGGAGACAATATTATTGCAGGCTTTTTCTGCTGGAACAACGACATGTTTGTCATGCAAAGAGGATAAAGCATCCACAGCCTCCGGGTTTTTGAATGGCTAGAAACCCTTGTGCTCATAGTACATCGTAGTTTCTGAATGCATGACCGAATAGCTTTGATCCATTCAGACAACATAGACTTTTCTACTTGATGATATATTAAATATAATCTGTATTAAATCCTCGCCATCAAAATTTGAATTTCAAAAAGTTAAAGAAAATAGTATATAAGAGATTGATTCTGTTGTTGTTTCGTTTTATGTTGTTTAGGGTTGCACTGGTGGTGGAAATATGAAAGTCAGCATCTTTTGTAAACCAATAAAATAATGTCATATATTTGTATACAAAATAAGAAGAAATTGTACGATTGCCAATTAGACAACAGTCCATCACATACATACGGACAAAACAAATATAGGGTGTTATGCGACCTTCAACAATGAGTAAAACTTGTTTTAAGCAAAGTATCTCGTCATGGTGTGTCATTATATTCTGTGATTAGTTCTGGAGACAGAAGTTGGCATGCGGTGTATGAACGTTGACCTCAAGATTTGTCGTTTTACTGAACTTTTATTGTAAATTGTAGGATTGTTGTCTAATAAATCATTATGCAAATAATTTTGACGTTGCAAATAACACACACACATAGTTAAATTTTTCTATTAAATATAGTAACAAAAAAACAACCAATACAACAAGCTGTTGTATGTGCTCCCATTATACAATAACATAAAACGGCTGACTTGATTTTTACATACCTCTACAACAATGTCTCAATATCAACCTTTTTATCAAAGTTCTAAATAAAACGAGCATTAAGACCAAACGTGTACCTAGTGAATGAAATAAAAAGCATTTAATAAATATTCAAAAAATATGCATTGATTAAAGCTATACAATAGGCAAAAGCAAATTGTTTTTGTTTAATTGTCTTAGTATTTGTCTGTTCCTGCAAATGTCTCAATAAAGTGTTTTTTTTAAATATCGAAACCGATTAAAAACACATACATGTATATCTCTTTGGCGTTTTTATAGAACAATATTGATATTGGTTGGATTTCTTATGCTTAGATGTACACATCTTAGTTTTACAAAATCTATATTACCGTAGAAGTAAAAACTGTTTCTCGTTTAAAAAGTTAACAACAAATATTATCGAAAAACTCATAGATACCAGTATGACCAGGTTGTTGGTCACCTCTGTAATATTAATTAGTTTCGGGGGAAACTAGCGGTAGCTCAGATAAAGTCCAAGTCGCTGGAAAGTTTTCATATTTATTTAGCATCCATATAATTCAAACAATAAAACATAACTGAATAACAACATAAAAACAAATCTAAAATACAAATTCAAAAGACTGATTGACATGCGGAATATCAACCAATCAAATATCTTTTCATTAAATAATATTAATTCGCGTTTTGCCGAAAGCGGGGATTACGGATTAAAAACATGCTTCGTATAAGTTTGTCAAGAATGGCTTTCGGCAGTTATCACTTAGTGTCAAATTATCTATGTTCTTTGTTACAGAACCTTTTATCTTTTAGCACATACTTACAACTTCTCGTCCAATCAAATTGCTTATATTTGCCTTCTAATTTTCATAGTACATACTTTACCCGTGTACTAAGTAACTACGCATGAATGACCACAAGGGTAAGATTTCATTGTATCGTAATCAAGATATTTAAAACAAAAATTGCCACTGGCTATTTTGAAATAAAATGCTGTGTTCCAAATTAAATTAAATAGTTTGTAATTAGTTTTCACGTTGATTTTTAAATATCCTCCTATTAAAATCTTTGGATCTAAAAAATGTTTTTGACAATTGCAAATTTCTTTCGTTTAAACAAAGGGTAATACATATGGTTCTTCATACCTTGATTAGAGTACAACGATATCTTAAAATTATGATAATGTATCATCCATGCAATTACTTTGTACACAAAAAGTGTGTACTATGAAACCTTGTGAAGGGGAAACTAAAGCAACTTGGTGATAATTTTTTAAACTTTCTTTAGGAAGGTGATCTATTTCGTCATGAATTGATTGATTTATTGATTATCGGTTGCTTAATTTCCAGTGGCAAATATTTCATGCATGTTCAGGACGATGTCATGAATTGAAAAACTGTGATTATGTCTGAAGATAATGTGCCAATTATATATATATATATATTATATATATATATAAACATATTCTGATAAATCTTTTAGTTTTTACTTTGAAATAATAAAACAAAAAAAAAAACAAAAACAAAACCTATAATCTGTGATCTATTGGTAGTTGCTTTTTAATGCCTATCTGCTAGACTATATCTATGGGGACAAACTATCTATATGTTTCAAATTTATTATAGCTTTAGTTTTACTGTGAAATTAGAAAACGTTTTCAAAACATGTAAAGCTTCCACTGCAATTTAATTATTGCCTGCTTTTGGTCAATTTATTTGGTCATCTTACCATGTAAGAAGAACATGTATAGTAAAACACCGCTTTATATCAATATACATACTTACACCAGCAGCTACCATCTTTTCATTCTGGAGTCAAGGGCATTTTGGAATAACATATTTTACAATGATACTAGTGAGTAGGTTTACAAAACTTCGTTAATGAGCTCCGTTTTACAAACACCTGTGATACAAGTAGTCAGCCAAAATAAACTATCAATAGACCAATTAAAAGATTACTCGAGTTGTAAATATGTGCTAAATTGGATAGTCTATGAAAAGGTATATACTATGAAATTAAGAGCTTGGGGCAAGCCCCTCGCTCTAAATTTCATAGTATATACCTTTTTATAGACTAACATAGACAAAGACGGATATAAATCTTTGATAATTAATCTGAATGAAAGGATTATAGTTAAGTGTAAAATACAAGTGTCGGTTAGTGTATGGAAAGGTATATACTATGAAATTTAGATCGAGGGGCTTGCCCCGAGCTCTTAATTTCATAGTATATACCTTTTCATACACTATCCAATTTAGCACATATTTACAACTTGAGTAATCCTGTAATTAGTCTATTGATATGTTTGACTGACTAAGTGTAGCTCATTTACGTAGTTTTGTAAATCTACTCACTAGTATCATTGTAAAATATTGAATCCAGAATGAAAAGATGGTAGCTGCTGGTGTAAGTATGTTTATTGACACAAAGCGGTGTTTTTTTATACATGTACTTCTTCACATGGTAAGATGACAAAATAAATTGACTAAAAGCAGGCAATAATTAAATTGCAATGGAAGCTTTACATTCTTCAAAACATTTTTTTCAATTTCACATAAAAACCAAAACTATGACAAATTTTACACATATAGATAGTTTGCAGTGGCGGATCCAAAAAGGGGGAGGGGGAGTTCAGGAGGGGGATGGAAAACGCCCTTTTTGTGATGATCAATGCTTTTGAATGAGGACATACAGTTGGACCCCCCCTCCCTTTATTTCGGGTTGGAACCCCTTTTAAAAATGACTGGATCTGCCCTGGTATGTACCCATAGGTAGTCTAGTAGATAGTTTTCATGCATGAAATATTTGTCACTGGACATTAAGCAACCAATAATCAATCAATTCATGACGAAATAGATCAAATTGCTTTAATTTCCCTTCACAAGGTTTCATGGTTCACTCTTTTTTGTGTACAAAGTAATTGCATGGAAGATAAATGATTACAATTTTCAGATGGCGTTGTACTCTAATCAAGGTATAAAAAATCATATTTGTTACTCTTTATTTAAATGAAAGAAACTTTTAATCGTCAAAAACATTTTTAGATCCTAAGATTAAATAGTAGGATGTTAAAAAATCAATTTGAAAACTAATTACAAACTATTTAGTTTAATTTGGAACACAGCATTTATTTCAAAATAGCCAGTAGCAATTTTTTTTTAATATCTTGATTACGATACAATGAAATCTTACCCTTGTGGTCATTCATGCGTAGTTACTTAGTACATGGAAAAAGTATGTACTATGAAAATTAGAAGGCAAATATAAGCAATTTGATTGGACGAGAAGTTGTAAGTATGTGCTAAGTAACTTTTGAATAGCGTAAAATACAATAAACTAATAAATTATTAAAACGCAATGAGGACTCGGAATAATAATAAAAAGCTAACATTTATAAAAATATACAAAATCCTAAATGTGAACTTTGAACGAACAATTGTCGGATCATATTACCCCGTCGCTCCTTATCTGATACTCCCGTATCAGCATGTGTAAATTATGAACGAATAATATTTCAAAATGCATAGAGGAGAAATTAAAAAGAGCAAAATTTATTTACATTATTTACAAGCGCGCTATTATGAACATTTGTCGTCTAAAATTTTCTCTCTCAAAATTTCTTTAAAGTACATGTACATGTAATTAAATCTAAGTGTGTCTAAATACCAACACGAATAAATCACGAATCAATATGTATAAAACGAACAGTCTGTAATATTTGCCACCATGCAAATAACAAATGAACACTGTGTCTCTTTCACAGAAATTCGATACTTGAATCTATATGGGAATATAAAACAAATCAGTAATATGTATATAAACATTGTCATTGCATTAAGTCATTGTTTTGTCAAATAAATCTGTTTTCATCACCAACTCTATTTCTACCTGGAATGAACACTAAGAATATCACGGAGATTCTCTTCAATCTGAACTTTGTTACTACATATTTTAAGTTTCAGGAACATTTGTCCGAACAAGTTCTGTAGCACTATATGCATATTTATGTACACATCTTTGTACTAATACATCGAACACATCTATGTGAATGTAACCATTTATCAAAATGTCGCTTATACCTGATATCTATTTTAAACAAAAAACGAAAAGTGTAGATCATTTCGATACTTGAAAAGGCATTGTATGGAACATCGCAATACTGATTGTAAAGCTAAAAATATATATTTGCAATTAAATAAAATCTCAACATACTCATCTAAAAATGTTATGGTAACTTGGCTACGGATATAAAATGTTGGGAAAAAATAAGGGGGGGGGGGGGGGTCAAACTGTTGAACTTCAAATTGAGAAAATAAGACATAAGAACGAAATACGTATAAAATTCAAGTGTAAAAATCTTTCTGGTTGTAAACGTGCTGTGTATTTTTTTAAAACAAAACAGGTTCTAATTTTTAAGATACTATTTTGTCCAAATAAAGCAATTCCTACTTATATTATGATAAATGCAAATGCCATTGTGTTGTGGTGTTGTTTAAAAAAAAATGCATGTTTTGAAGTAAAATACATGTTTAACAATGGTTTCTTTAAATGCAAAAGCAGTTAAAATGATTTTTCAAGGTTTTATCGTTTCAGCATAGGATCGTCACTCCTATATTGAAACTCCTTTGAACATGAATTGGGTGACGAGTCCAAGCCATGATCGAAAGGGGTCGAAAGAAATGCCAAACATTTGGTACGACTGTACCCGTTATACCATTGTTAGAACGTGAAAATAACACCAATTTTGTTATTGCTGTTACTTGATGTATGAATTGTCACTGATGTTTGTCTTATAATACGACCATTAACTTGTGTAAAACACGAGTTCCAAACTTACGACAAATATACTATGACAACCCAATATGAGATGGAATATTGTTATACTAACATTACCGTTTAAGAAAAAAAAATAAGACTCATTTTGTATATGAAGTAATTGATTATGTTACTATCTATCAAATTGCGATGTAAAAAACACGGGGTTGTACATAGTATGTAAGTTAACTTTTGCTATTTAATTTGAAAAATGATGTGTAATTGTAATGTGTAATTCTACAAAAGAATAAAGGGGGGGGGGGGGGGGGGTCATTTCTATCTC